AATGATGATGATTACAAACTTTTTATAAACAAATATGTGAAAAGTGTGGTGTGCATTTGTATTTAGCCCCCCTGAATCAATACTTTGTAGAACCACCTTTTGCTGCAATTACAGCTGCAAGTCTTTTTGGGAATATCTCTACCAGCTTTGCACATCTAGAGAGTGAAATTTTTGCCCATTCTTCTTTGCAAAATAGCTCAAGCTCTGTCAGATTGGATGCAGAGCGTCTGTCAACAGCAATTTTCAAATCTTGCCACAGATTCTCAATTGGATTTAGGTCTGGACTTTGACTGGGCCATTCTAACACATGAATATGTTTTGATCTAAACCATTCCATTGTAGCTCTGGCTGTATGTTTAGGGTCTTTGTCCTGCTGGAAGGTGAACTTCCACCCCAGTCTCAAGTCTTTTGCAGATTATAACAGGTTTTCTTCAAAGATTTCCCTGTATTTGGCTCCATCCATCTTCCCATCAACTCTGATCAACTTCCCTGTCCCTGCTGAAGATAAGCATCCCCACAACATGATGCTGCCACCACCATGTTTCACGGTGGAGATGGTGTGTTCACGGTGATGTGCAGTGTTAGTTTTCCACCACACATAGTGTTTTGCTTTTAGGACAAAATGTTAAATTTTGGTCTCATCTGACCAGTGCACCTTCTTCCACATGTTTGCTGTTGAATACTTTTTCAAGGCACTGTATATATTAACCAAAAATAGACTATTTTTTTTAACAAAAAAAAGAGTTACAAAACACCACTGTGATCAGTAGCTGGTAGCCAGCTTGCAGTAAGGGACTGAGTCTGAGAGGAACACTGGAAGGAGCGGCAGCTCAGCTGCTACCCTGGCCCCGACACCCAGTATCTTCCTCTGTCCTTTCTTCCTCCCCTCAGCTGAAGGATCATTCATGATATGGTGGTGACCCACATCAGCATCCCATCCGATCCCCTCACCCCGACCATTGTCCAGCCCCCACCTCCTGCTGTCACCTCCATGACCCACCTTTCCCTCTAGGCTCGGCTCACTTCTGATGGCTCCTGCCAGAGTGAGTAGTCCAGGCTGTGGCCCTCAGTGAGGACAGGCGACCTCCCAACACTACACCGCTTCCCTCTCATACACATCGGGCCCTGATCATCCTACCATCCTACTCACATAGGGTTAACCCTGCAACCAAAGCACACCCCCGCCTATTGATTGTCTCTAGCTGTGTAGAAGAAGGTGGAGCCAGCACTAGACACTTCTGCTCCCTGTTACAGCTGGAGGATCCTGTGTGCCAGTGTGTGTACGAACCGATGCTCTAGGTCCTGGGCTAATGTCATTACTTCTCATCCGAGGGGGGCCGATGTCTCACTGCTACGTGGAATACCATCTCATATATATATATATATATATATATATACACACACACACGTGTGGACAGGCTGTGAGACAATTGTGCAGAGTTAAGATACAATCATTCCCGGTGTATGAGGAATTTATATAAGAGGTCCTTAGGTCACACAGAGAGAGAGTGCCAGCCTGTGCTGCACCCAGGCACCCCTAGGTGGCAGTGCACCCAAGACAGCTGCCTAGTTTGCTCAGTGTAAGCACGGGCGCTGATGACAGCACCAAAGAGGTGGGGTTCTGAGGGTGAAGGTCCTCTTTAAGGAGGAAGTATCGCTCCATCTTTATAATCTTTATTAATCCCCCTTGGACCAAGTGCATGTAGCACTTTGTACCATTCCATTCTGGTTACTGAGCAGTGTGGGCAAACATCTCTCCACCTTTTCCCAATGCTGCTAGCAAGGAGACAAATGCATAATGAGGGATAAATGACAGTCTAGGAGTTGCTCAGCCCCTTCCACCCTACAATTTGTATATTAACCTTCCTAACCAGGATGCCCTATGCAAAGGATTGGTTACAAATATTTTTTTGCTTTAAAGAAGAATTATAACTTTTTTTACAATCCTGAGTTCCCCATGGGAGAAAGTACATGTAATACTGTGTCCAATCTTCCTAAGTGCTCTGTAAAACTAGCTGTGATGTTGCACAGGGTACCCCTTCTTGGCGCACAACCGCCCAACAGCTAGCAAGGAGCAGGCTGCTTTGATAGAGTGTGCCTGGCTCTGGCTCCCAGCATTTCCTAAGGCAAGCACCAGCAACAGGACTGCAGAGAGAGGGCCTGTGTGTCATCCTTTTGTCCCTCTGCATTCCTCTTGCTGGTGCTTGCCTTGGGCAAGTGCCTGGAGACCAAGACAAGCACTACAAACAAAGCAGATGCCTCCTTGCTGGCTGGGGTGTTAATTGCAGCTAATGTTACAGGGTACCTAGGGGGATGGGAGAAAGTACATGTATTTTCTCCCATGGGGGAACTTAATAATATTAAAAATAGTCATAATCCTTTAAAATGGTTTAGCGTTTAAATTAAAGCCTAAATTGTTTCTTTATAAATTCTGTGGCACACAGATGGGAGGCATTCCTATCTTCATTCAGTAGAAATATCCAAATCTTTATTTTCCACACCCATTTGTAATGATAGAAAAGATTCCTTAAGCTACAGCCAAAGAAGAATGAGAAGCGTATGGCTTAATAGAATTGCCTCTTTGGCACAATTATGAATTGTCAGCAACGATTTCTAATTTGCTGAATAGTATAGCTCCAATAAGGCAGCCCAAAGCTAAATGACCTTGTTGCCAGACAATTACAACCAAATATTTCCTATAAGATTTTATGTGCATTTAAAGGGATTGTAATCTATCACCTTGTAAAACAACCCAGTTTAAAATGGAAATGAAAAGCACAACATTTGAGTACAGATATTTAAAAAAAAAGAACAAATACCTCCCCCCCCCCCCCCCCCCCCCCCCCCCCCCCCTTTTTTTTTTTTTTTTTCAAAAAAAGTGATCACATTCCCTCTATTCTCAGCTACATAAGAACTGGGGGAGGAGAAACAGCAGCAAACTGATCTTCCCAGTGAATGGCTGTGCATCGGGTGGGTGACAAGACTGATCATTGGAGGAGCACAGATTAAGTTGCCAGCATAGCTAGAGAACTGACCATGCTGTGCTGTACTGTCCTGCCCAGTGTCATCAGTTTTTAAAAGGAAAGCAGAGAGACTGGATGGAACACCAGAAATATCACACAAAGGAAGCAATACAAAGGGGACAGGATACTTTTTCATATAAGTACATGGTACAGCAAGCACATATCGGAAATATTGGGTTAAAAATTCTTTAAAGTGTTTTATGTCATTTTATCTGTAAATGCCTCCCTTGTGTAGACCTCTAAAGGCCGTGAGACTTCTGCTGGGTGCCACCATCTTGGGTGTGTTGTCAGCAGCCCCAGTAGACTCAGAGTTTAACAAGTGGCACTGTGGCCTTTGTTGCTCCCATGCAGTTATAGAAAAGGTTATGAGGGAGGTGAAGGGTGGGTTAGAGGAGCTTGGCCAGCACAGAGAATAATTAGATGTTTTATCAGAAGAGGAGAGGGCGATAAAAGGAAGAGAGGTGTTGTGCTAGGGAAGTGACACTTCAAAAGACACTGCAAATAAACAATCATTTATGAAAACAAAAACACTGCACATAAGAATTTCGAATGCTTGATTGTTCTGTGCTTTCACCTGCAATTGAGTTTGAACGTTTGGAGTATACCATCCAGTGTTTTGATACAGGAGGACCTCTGTGCTGAAGTACATTTCTCAGTTCGAGATGGCTGGTTAGACATGATAACCACGGGTGTCAAACTGGCGGTCCTCCAGCTGTTGTCAAACTACAAGTCCCATGAGAAATTGCAAGAGTGACAGTGACAAGCACGACTCCCAAAGGTAGAAGCACGATGGGAACTTGTAGTTTCACAACAGGTGGAAGGGTGCCAGTTTGACACCCCTGTGTTACGCCATGGCAGTGAAAAAACAATCTTCATGAGTAAGGAATCTGCTGCACATGTACCGAAAGTTTGTTGGTTCAGCAGGAACTGGCTGACCCAGCTGACTTTTGGTAAATGTGTTCCGCTTTCTGTTCAACACAAGTCAGTATAACGACCTGTTGCTGTCGAATAGAAAACCAGCATTCCATCAGCGCTTGCAGGCCCCCAAATTGGGGGACAGATCCCTGAATAACACATCGCTTATGTTGTTGCAGGAGTCTGTCAGGTTTTTTTTGTTCAACCTGCTCATTGGGTGGAAAAAAAAAAACCAACACATATACCCCACTTTACTCTGGTTTACTAACAAATCTTCTGAAGTGTTTAATACTACTCTACTGATACTGGTAAGGGTATGTATTTGTGAATATCATCAAAGTGAGAAGTTTAAAATAAACCTGTTTTGGGAAGGGTGTGCTATTGCTGGCCTCTCCTAAAATGCTAGTTGCCCAGCTGTCATGATGATCCTCTTACATCAACACTTTTTGATTGAACAAATATGCTGGTAAGGACTTCTCACTTTTCTGATCTGCATATATTCTCCTGATCTGTGACACAAGGCGGTGAGTGAGCATAACAGCCAAGCAACTAGTATTTTCAGAAAGTTTAGCAATGGCAAGCTTACTTTAACAAAAGACATGGTCAAATTATGAAGGGCTGCTGGCTGTATGTAAAGGTTGTCAGCCAAACTATATTGCTCATCCAGCATGGAGAATGTGACAGCAGCTTTCTTTTTTTTTTTTTTTACTTCGTAATACAGATTTCATATACTGCACAGCTGATAACATGTTGTGAATTATAAATGACAATCAGCTCACTCGTTCCCACAGTTCGATATATATTCACAGCTCTGTAAAAGTTAAACTGTATCCAGGATTATATGAAAAGAACAATTCTACATTATCTGACTATGCACATAATCCCATACCAATAATCTTTACAAGAGAAAGGTAGAAAAATCCTAATTGCATACATTAGATCATGAATATAAAACATAGTGTATAGCGCTGTAATACAAAAGTGTATGTGTGATTTTATTTTTCTGACAGTTTAGAGTAGATTGTTATCTGTGTATGTGATCTGAAACAAATCTGTAACAAACTATTTTTCTTCAGGCTCAACTTTTGGAACTCTGCCTAAGGCATAAAACTCCTCATTGGGTCGTAAGTCAGTTAAGTGAGCAATACGATTCGCCAGAGCAAAAAAGGCTGTAACCATTGCAATATCCCAGGCGTCTTCTCGGTCAAATCCATGTTCCTCTAGCTTCTGGAAATGCGTTTCAGGTATGCTTTTTGCGTTTGCAATGTCCAAGGCAAACTCTATCATGGCATGCTCTCTCTTACTTAGATCTGCTAGCTCAGGGTTAACAACCACCTAAAAGAAAAAAAAAACACACATTCTAAAGAAAATAATTGGTATACGGGGAAAAAGTACCTGTTCTGGGAGGAAAAACAGACACAAATCTGCAATGGACAAAATGACTGCTATATTTGTGGAATGCATCGCTTGGGAGAGAATAGTATAAATAATATATACACTGAATTCAGTACTTTTTCATATTCATAACCTTACCTTCAAGATGAACCTAGCACTTCACCCTCCCCTCAGCCAAACCCTACTGCTTACCTAACTCTGAAAATTAACACCTAAAGCAGTAGTAAAATTAATGGGGGGATAGGTTTAAGCCATAATGTGCTACTATGCACTGCATACTAGCACATTGTGTCAGACATACATTGAGAATGGATCCCTCCAGCATTGCCCCCCTGTCACTGCTGACAGGGATTCACCTGGTCTTCTTCATGTGCACAGGCTCTGGCCGCTTGATTGGCCGAGTCATGATGATGTTACTCCCGCACATGCACACGGGAGCCCTGGGCACGTCCCAGAGCTCTGAAGGAACGACACAGGATTGCCGTTCCTTCAGAGCATACAATGTCTTGAAAAAGTATTCATACCCTTTGAAATTGTCTACGTTTTGTTATGTTACAACCAAAACGTAACAATTTTATTGGGATTTTACATGATAGACCAACACAAAGTGGCACATAATTGTAAAGTGGAAGGAAAATGATAAATGGTTTTCAAAATTTTGTACAAATAAATATCTGAAAAGTATGGCATGCATTTGTATTCAGCCCCCTTTACTCTGATACCCCTAACTAAAATCTAGTGGAGCCAATTGCCTTCAGAAGTCACCTAATTAGTAAATAGTGTCCACCTGTGTGTAATTTAATCTCAGTATATATACAGCTGTTCTGTGAAGCCCTCAGAGGTTTGTTAGAAAACATTAGTGAACAAACCGCATCATGAAGGCCAAGGAACACACCAGACAGGTCAAGGATAAGGTTGTGGAGAAGTTTAAAGCAGAGTTAGGTTATAAAAAAATATCCCAAGCCTTGAACATCTCACAGAGCACTGTTCAATCCATCATCTGAAAATGGTAAGAGTATGGCACAACTGCAAACCTACAAAGACATGGCCGTCCACCTAAAATGACAGGCCGGGCAAGCAGAGCATTAATCAGAGAAGCAGCTAAGAGGCCAATAGTAACTCTAGAGAAGCTGCAGAGATCCACAGCTCAGGTGGGAGAATCTGTCCACAGGACAACTATTAGTCGTGTACTCCACAAATCTGGCCTTTACAGAAGAGTGGCAAGAAGAAAGCCATTGTTGAAAGAAAGCCATAAGAAGTCTTGTTTGCAGTTTGCAAGAAGCTACAGTGAAGGAAATAAGTATTTGATCCCCTGCTAATTTTGAATGTATGCCCACTCACAAAGAAACTATCAGTCTAAAAATCAAATGGTAGGTGTATTGTAACAATGAGAGACAGAATAGCAACAGAAAATGCAAAAGAAATGCATGTCTAACAAATTATGCACCGATTTGCATGTTCATGAGGGAAATAAGTATTTGATCCCCTTCACGAAACATGACTTAGTACTTGGTGGCAAATTCCTTGTTGGCAAACACAGAGGTCAGACGTTTCTTGTAGTTGACCACCAGGTTTGCACACATCTCAGGAGGGATTTTGGCCCACTCCTCTTGGCAGATCCTCTCCAAGTCATTAAGGTTTGGTGGTTGACATTCGGCAACTCGAACTTTCAGCTCCCTCCACAGATTTTCAATCGGATTAAGGTCTGAAGACTGGCTAGGCCACTCCAGGACCTTAATGTGTTTCTTCTTGAGCCACTCCTTTGTTGCCTTGGCCGTGTGTTTTGGGTCACTGTCATGCTGGAACACCCATCCATGACATTTTCAATGCCCTGGCTGGGGTGGGATTGCTGCATGCATAAGACTTTTTACTTAAGTGCTAAAACAATGCACTAAGATGAAAAACATCCTTCCTTTAAAGCCACTTTAAGACAGCACAGCAATTTTTTATACATTAATCACCCAACAATATCTCTAACCTGACCTTTGGAAACCCAAATATATTAAGCAATGAAGCTGTCAGTACTGAAAGCACAGTCCTGTGTAGATATCTTGGCACTTAAAGCTAGCGATTCATCTAATTTTGGGCATTTCTGCAAGTATTTTTTTTTTTCAGCATTACCTGGTCAGCCAGTGTTCTATTCTTTGAGTATATTCTGTGCAATGCGCTGTGAGCAGTTACACAATAAGGACACTTATTACTTGCACTTGTAGCCACAACTATGAGCTCTCTGTCCGCTTTGGTTAGGTTTCCTGCAACAGAAATAATTACTGTAATTTATATATCCTTGCTTTATAAGTAGAATATAAGGAAAATGACTGTAAAAAAATGGTTAAATATTTAAACTTATTAATAAAGAGTGCATAGGTGGTTGGAATTCCTGGAAGGTTTTTTATTGCTTTCTGTGGCATTCTGGGAAGATTTACTCTATTTATCCTGATGATGGCCACTGTCAATAGAAGTAAAAAAATGAGAGAAAAATCCAAAAATTAGATTTGCCACCATAACAAGAGGTGATGGAAAAAATCTTCCAATGGGCACACTAGTTCTGGTGACAACTGTTTAAGCAGAGATTCCCCTCACTTATGGAAATTCTCTCTCCATTGCTATAGTTGAAGTGATATTGTATAAACTTTGGTTACATTTTATATTTTTGTATTAGTGGTATTGCGGTGACAATGCCTCTGGTCTGTTTGGAACACAAAGTGAAGTGGCTGTACATTGTAACTTTTGTACTTTTTCAGTGAAGTTCCATGAGAGCACAACAAGATTTGTTTAAAGCTTATCTAAACAAAAAAACAAAACAAAAACGCAATACATTGCAGCTTACCTGTCCATAGATGTGGTGATTGCATTGCTTTTCTTTTTCTCTGATTTTTTTTTTTTTTTCTTCAACTTTTTTTCACCTAGTAATCCTGAGAATAACACACTTCTTGCCTTTGGATGGTGTTTCTCGTTCTGTCTTCTGTATCTATGGAGGAGCCATAGATGTCACTCTAGGCTGCTCTCCTGATTTGGACTACAAACACATCTTCCTCTCATCTTTTTTACAAGGGGGTGGGGCATTTGTAATTTACAGAAGATAGTTCAGAGGTTGTTTGTGATTTCAGTTCAATTTGCAGGAAAGACACTGCATTTTTTGGTTAGATTTTTTTTTTCCTGTATTTGCTAAAAATGTCTCCTAGCCTGAAAAATTAAAGCATATGAAACCACCACATCTACTGTAAGTATTAATGAGTGGCAGTATATAAAGCTCTTCTTGAATTTAAATATCCTTTTAGTAAATTGAATATAGTGAGGCAAAATACCAAAACATACAGAAATATAGATTTTGGGTTTAGGTTTTAAATTTTCACAAATACACAATTAAGTCGAAGGTTTTTTTTTATATATATACATTTTAGTGTTAAATTATGACCCTGTATTGAAACGGCACCACCATATTATTTAAATACTTGTAAATAACAGTTGTGTATGGGGAGAAAATATGACTTCAACCAAATTGTTTCCTGCTTAAAATTTTGAGTGAGCTGGAAAATTAAGTTACACAATGACCATATATGAAAACTTTTTGGTTATTCATGCAATATTCCTTTGGTCTCCTCACATTGATCATTCATTGCATAGATACTGAATGATCATAAGGAGATCATGAAGAAATTGGCAGTATGCTTATATGGCCATTCTCAAATTAAAATTGAGTCACTCATCTGCTTCATGCATCAGTAACTTTAAAGACCCTTATTTATAAAATTTTCTGAAATATGAGTGCTGTCTAACACGTAAGTAGATTCAAGTATTCTCTGGAAAACAGTTGAATAAAATATGAATCCTTGTGTGGAGGCAATACAAGCAATTGTTACTGTGACATTCTAAGACCCCATACATTTAACCAGTGCATTTGTATTTACCAGTTTCCTTGTTCATAATGACATCATAATAGGCAAAAAATGCTCTGAATTCACTTGGTCGATGAGCCAGTACTTTGAAAACATTTGGTAGAAATCCACCCTGCAATAAAAAAAAAAAATATTGGAAATGGTTGGTATCAAAAGTACCAAAGCATAGTGTGATTTTTTTTTTGCATATGCAGAGGTTAAGAAAAACGAGATAAACTTGTTTATGAGCAGTCATATAAAACAAGGATGCTGCCATTCTGAAGGCTAGTAACTTGTGTCAGAACCAGCTTCAAATGGGAGAGCATTTAGGTCACAGTCACTCAAATTTTTTTAAGGGCTTTTCTTGCCCACTTTTATAAAAAAAAAAAAGTTCAAAAAATCAAATGGTTTTCCCTTGCAGGGGTTTTTTCAGCATTTCGCAACCACAAAACAAATTAAACAATCGCCTCCTGTGCTGGCGCCCACCTGTTGTCTAATTCTACTAAATGCTCTGCTTTGCTCTGATTGTATTCTATGGGCAACACTTATGCATTCCTTTCCTACAGTTTTTTACTTTCTTCAGCCATGTACCATGCTCATGCCCTTTACAATCGTTGGGTTGACCATGTGATTCCTCTGTGATCTCTAGGATTTCGGATTTTGTCATGCTTGAGGTGATTGTAGCCGTATTAGTGCATTTGCTACAGAAACAATTGAGTACTGTCCGTGATACTTTTTTTATTTGCACTAACATACAATTTTGAGGACAAGCTTTCGGGGTGTGTCCCCTTCTTCAAAGTACTGCTTGGACTTTGAAGAAGGGGACATACCCCGAAAGCTTGTCCTCAAAATTGTATGTTAGTGCAAATAAAAAAACGTATCACGGACAGTACTCAATTGGATTTTGTCATGAAACTATCCCTGACAAAAACACCTTCTCTGAGCATGAAACTGTCATTTACTCTGCCAATAAAAAGGTATTCAACTCTCCATGGTTTTTTTCTTTTGAACAAGTTATGAACTACAACATTGTCTCCAGCATTTAGAACACGATTTCAACTTTTAATCAAAAGTGAACTTATTTGTGTATGTGTTTTGCACATATTGTCGCCTTGTAGGCCACAATAGGACACACTTACCTCTTGTTTACAGTGGATATAAAAAGTCTACACACCCCTGTTAAAATGTCAGGTTTCTGTGAAGTAAATAAATGAGACAAAAGATAAAATCATTTAAAAAGGTGGAAAAAGTTCTGAAATGTGCTCTATAAACTATACAACTCAATTGCAAAACAAACCAATCTTTTTTGGGGGGGAGTAAACAAACTAAAATAATGTGGTTGCATAAGTGTGCACACCCTCTTATAACTGGGGATGTAGCTGTGTTCAATGGATGTCCCTCCAAAATTGATGAAAAGACAAGAAGAAAACTGGTCTGGGAGGCTGTCAAGAGGCCTACAGCAACATTAAAAGAGCTGCAGGAATATCTGGCAAGTACTGGCTGTGTGGTACATGTGACAACAATCTCCCGTATACTTCATATTTCTGGGCTATGGGGTAGAGTGGCAAGACAGAAACTTTTTTTTCTTAAGAAAACCATCCAAGCCCGGCTAAATTCTGCAAAAACACATCTGAAGTCTCCCAACAGCATGTGAAAAAAGTTTTTTATGGTCTGATGAAATCAAGGTTAAACGTTTTGGCCATAATTCCAAAAGATATGTTTGGCGCAAAAACAACACTGCACATCACCAAAAGAACACCATACCCACAGTGAAGCATGGTGGTGGCAGTATCATGCTTTTGGGCCGTTTTTCTTCAACTAGAACTGGGGCCTTAGTCAAGGTAGAGGGAATTATGAACAGTTCCAAATACCAGTCAATATTGGCACAAAACCTTCAGGCTTCTGCTAGAAAGATGAACATGAAGAGGAGCTTCATCTTTCAGCATGACAATGACCCAAAGCATAAATCCAAATCAACAGGAATGACTTCACCAGAAGAAGATTAAAGTTTTGGAATGGCCCAGTCAAAGCCCAGACCTGAATCCAATCGAAAATCTATGGGTTGATCTGATGAGGGCTGTGCACAGGAGATGCACAAGATATACCATGCTGATAGACTCATACCCAAAAAGACTGAATGCTGTAGCAAAATTAAAAGGTGCTTTAACAAAGTATTAATTTAAGGGTGTGCACACTTATGCAACCATATTATTTTAGTTTTTTATTTTTACTTCCCATCACCTAAAAGATTTCATTTTGTTGTTCAACTGAGCTTTACAGTTTATAGGTTACATTAATGGTGGAAAAAATTCTGACATTATTATCTTTGTCTAATTTTTTTACATCACAGGAACCTGACATTTTAACAGGGGTGTGTAGACTTTTTATATCCATTATGTCTACGACAATGGCTGCCTAGAGAATAGAAAATCCCTTAAGATGATGATAGATGGTAAAAGAACAGGTGGTAATAGATTGATAGTCCCTGAGTTTTTATTCCTAATTTAGCGGTCAAGGTCTAGATGTGCATCTGACATTTTGGGAATATCTCTGGGAACAACACAAGCCACTTCTAATTTGTATCTTAATTTTTTTTTTTATTATTTATAGTGACATAAAATACATCAAATAAATAAGTCAGCCCAACAGAAGCACCACAGTAAGGCTGGTCATACAAGATTCCTTTTTTTTTTTCCTTCATTCAACCAGCGGGTTGAACAAAAAAAAAAAAAAAAAAAAAAAATCAGTCGATTTCCCATCCACACATCTGAGGCGGATGGGGTATTCTTTCCTGCTGTGGTATTGTATTCTGACAGAGGGAACACTTCCCTGCTGTCAGAATATAATGATCAGCATTGCCAGCTATAGCTGTGGCATTGACCATTCGGTTGTGCAGAAGCTGATCGGCTGATTCGGCTGGTCGATGCTAAACCAGATGAATGTATGGTGCGACTTTAGTCCAAACTCAGCATGCAATGTCCTGCAAAAGGTAATATGAGTGAAGAAAGCAACACTCAAAAGGCCATAAAATTGCAACAAGAAATCTGAAGAATTTGCTCCAAATGATACCACAGGCAGAGGCTGCCATCAAATTGTGGAAGACATGAGGGTCAACAGGGACATAAGTCGCTGGCAGGGGGTATCACCTTACGGCTCCCCGAAAAGTATTATATTTATAATGAGGTAGGCAGAAAGGTAGGATAGAAATGAAAATGGGGAGAAAAGAGGGAGTGAAAAAAAAAAAAAAATGAAAAGGGGGGGGGGGGGGGGTACATGTCCTAACAAGCCAACAATTCCTCTGGCTAATAAAGACTAGATTCAAGAAATTCTTTATACTTCTAAGAGAAAGTGAACTGGGTCCAGTAGAACCACGTCTTGCTGAAGCAGACTTCCTGTTTTCTCATGGAGGAGGTGAGGTCCTCCATGCACATATTATTGTTTACCATTCTAATGGACTCATGTATCCTAATTGTAGCCTACTTAATAATACAAGTGTTAAACTATACACTTCCCAAATCAATGCAATACTCAAGAGTTGTATGGCTTACAGATATCTGCCAATGTATGGGCACATTTACTGTATCTCATCAAATATAAGAAATCCCATATTTTGGAATGTACAAACAACGCTTGTTTTCATTTGTGACTTCAGCTCTTGCTCCAGGACAAGTAATAGGACTGTAGAAGGGATGCATTCTCAGTACTACAATAGAAACTCCCAACAGACTTAGGCTACTTTCACAATGAGGAGTTTTTGAAGTGTTTTTGTGTTAAAAAAAAGTGCCTGAAAAGCTCAAGAAAAATGCTTCCCTATGTATATCAATGTATGTTTTCACACTGAGTCGTTGCACTTGCGGTGCGGTGTAAAAACTACTGCTTACAGCATCTTTGGGGCATGTTTGGCGAGTTAAAAAAAAAAAAAAAAGCCCCAAAAATGCCTCTTCTCATTGAAATCAATGGAAAAATGTCTGAAAAAAAATTGCCTGAAAAGTGCCTCAAAAATGCCTCTAAAAAGCGTTTTTGGTGCAGTTTTTAAATTACGTGTCCTTTAAAAAATGCTCAGAAAGCATGGTAAAAACACAGTAAAAATGCCTACGTATTTTTTCTTGGTTTTTTTTTGTGGCAGATCAGTGTGAAATTAGCCTAATAAACAGCATTTGAGAGAAGTACAGGGAACGGGACTGGAACTATCTTGTTACAGGAAGATCCCCTATTTCTCCTTGGTAGTAGAATCACACCAGCACCTAGGCTGCACCCACCTGCATCCATATCATTGACCTGTTAAGGGGATGGTCTGCCATCAGAGAAGGAACCAGTCATATGCACCACGAATTCTAGAAGGGAAAACTCCACTGCCACTGTGGAGAGATCAAGTGGATCCTTGAATGCAGGGCTCCGGCCCACTGTCCTAGTAGTATCTTTGAGGGCCACAAGCAGAGCCACAATAGGTATAAACTTCATCCTCCCTAAATGAAAACAAGTCTAGTAAGTGTCTGGGAAGTGTCAAGGGAACATCAAGGTATCCAATCCCCATAGAAGAAGACTTTAAAGAGTGGATGCAATGGACAGACCTTCAAAGCTGTAGGAACTCTGAATGACCCAGGACTGGAAACAGCAAGACTGGTGCACGCTGCAAACAACCACTAAATTCAGGAGAAATATCAGAAGACTGCAACTCGTCGTGGAAATATATATCAGGTAGAGATAGGGGTAATTCAGAATCATAGAAAGAAATAGCTGCAACTGATAGTTCAGAAGCCTCTAGGACCATGGACAGATCAGCTTTAGAAACTGCACAAGGATGTGCTTAAAGCATATGCAGTCAGAACCCAGGGACTGAGTGAACTGGTCTTGAATAACTAGTAGAAACCCTGGCTCCACCTGGAAGAGCTAGGGAGGACTCTAACCAGCAGGGAACCAGGTTCAACATGTTGTTCCTTCAGAGGGTATGGAAGAAACCGAGAGTGTGTGAGCTGGAGTCACCAAATACTGCAGGGCTGTCACTTCTATGTCTAGACAGAGACATGTTCCACACAGTGTTAGGACAAGTCAAGCTCAGGTATGAGGCATGGTAGCAGGGGAGTGTCAGATCGCCAGAAGTGACCATGGTCACTGTAGCTGGGCAGCAGGAATGAACCAAGGATCTAAGTTCAATATGGCTCTTTGAAAAGCAGGAGCAGCAGTAGACAGATGCTTGCCTAATGCTGAAAGGAGATCAAAAGGAGAATAGAGGGGATGCAACACTCCAATGGGTGACTTCATCTCTCAGCACTAACCCTTTCCATGGTAAGAACTGGCAGTAATTAGACAAATGTGTCCAGCAATCCAAACGAATAAGGTAGCTTTCAGTGCTTTGCCTGAATGAACAGAGTGAGTGAGTAGAGATAGGGCAAGTGCTGAGGCAATGCCAATAGTTCTTTTCCTGGAAAGCACTCTGTGGCTAACTTGTTACCAGAACAGGGTCAGGAAAGCACCTTATGCGGAACCCAGTGCTTGAAGGTCACTTTCAGGCTACTAATCCAGAAGGGTCTGGTCGTTGCAATCCAAAAGCCAGGCTGAGGAAAGGCCACTTTGGATAGATGCAATCGTAGAAATCACCTCTAGCAGCAATGTCGAAAATAGTGTTGATTGAAGGAAAAAATAAATAAATAAAAGCTAGCCAAAAATAGTTTTTAAGACCCTTCCAGCAGACCTGAGGGAAAAATTGACCATCCATCTAGGGCACTAAAAACAAACGAAGCATTGGGTGGGTGAGTATTACAGCAAAATATGCTTTTTTATAGCATAATCAGCTATTCTTTTTTATTTTTGGCAGTAGTTCTGCTTTAAAGATTAGTCATAAAAAGATAACTGAATTTATCTATATGCTTTATGATAGATGTACTGCTTTATAATAGTGGAACAGGTAATATTAAATCCTCCAAAGTTATAATATATTTTAAATCTTTAAGTAGTCCTATTTATTTTTTTTAAATAAAATAATAAACATGTTATACTTATCTGCTGTATGCAATGGTATTGCACAGAGCGGCCCTCATCCTCCTGTGGTCCCGTGTCAGCACCCTTAGCTCCCTTTCTCCATCTGTCCCCATTGCTCTGGAGGCAGACATGCCAGCGTGACCCTGAGCCGGGCTGTGTGCATCTTTTGACACACAGCATGGCTTAGTCCCGCCCCCCATTTTCTCCTCATAGCATATGATTGACAGCAGCGGGAGTAAATGGCTCCCACAGCTGCCTCAGTTCCTGTGAGTAGAGAGAGAGAAGAGATGCAGATGGTCACAGAGGTGGATTGACTGAGGATCCAGGAGGAAGTATTTAGGAAGGTGAGGATGCAAAGCAAGCTGTAAAAATGTTTTTCCCTTAATGCAGGTAATCTGGGGATCAGCCAGCTGAGGAAACCACTGTCAATTAAGAGAGGGGACATGGCTACAAACCAATCATGGAAAATACATGGACATTGTTTAAGGTTCAAACACTTAAGAATTTTCTGAAATTGCTTTTAAAAATGTTCTTATAATTTGATCTGCTGATACTCCAACTCTAGTAGACACATTCACAAACCTTTTTCTCAACTTCTTCCATTAGTTCTACTATATCATATGGCAAGTCTTTTTTGTAAGGCACAGGGTAGCGGCTGATTGGTCTGGGTGAGTCTGAGTCAGTTCCATATCCTTTTCTTCCCAAGACTGCTCTAGGTAATCCCAAATTCCCATGAGAAAAATCTTTACTCGAAAGTTCTGAAAAACATTTAGAGAACATATACATTTTTATTTTATTTAGTGTAATCAGACTAAAATATGTGGGTTTTTAAAAAAAAAAGACCTACAATCTCAATATAACATGCTATACTACAAACATAATCCTTGAGTATAATTAAAGATACGGAGACAGCATGCAAATGTATTCTCCTTTCCTAATCATGGTTGATTTAAAGTGTTTTTTTAGTTGGGTTAATATTAAAAATTGCACGAAAAATATTATATACTCCTAATATCAATAAATCATAGTTCTTTAGGCTCTTTTACATGCTTTCCTGTTTCTGCCATCTTGTAAAAAGCCTGCTCAACAGCTAAAGCTTAAATTTAAGTATAACTAAAAGCAAAACTTTTTTTTTTTTTTTTTTTTTTAGTTTTGGATGGAGTGGACAAGGAATAGTACACCTATTAGGTTTTTATTGCTGTCTGCGCCCCCTATAGGGAGTTTCACCCTCTCTATTCATCCTATGTACTGCTATCATTAAAAGTAAAGGAAAATCCAAAATTTTGGGTTGTCCCCAGAACACTAGTGACCAGGGGAACCACCAAGGGATTCCCTTATTTGCAGGGATCTCCCCAATGGGACACAGATGGCAAAAACGCAGCTGCTCCTGAATGAGCTGGCAGTAGTTTTTTTCTGCCTCTAAATGCCTGTAAACACCTATGTGTACATGGACACAGTCTAACATAAAGGGGTGTTTAGAGGCAGAAAAAAAGAAAACAAAAAAATCCCCAAAAGCTACAAAAAGCGGTGTCTATCACCTAGTATGCATGAGGCCTTATAATTGGATGGATAACAGCACTGCTATATAAACAGCACTTCTGTGCCTTTACATCTTCTCCTGTGAGAGCCAAGCTCTGTATATACAATGAGAGTATTGGACAATTGTCTGTTTTTTTTTGCATGCTAGTCTCATACCAAAAATGAAGAGGTTACTCAAAGTTCTGAAAATTCTTGTATGACAGAATAAAAATTTGGTAGTCATCTAATGTATTGTATCTGTATTGTATTGTCAGATAAACTGTACTGATTAAATTAAAATTGCGCGATCTGGTATCATGCAAGAAATATTTTTTGTGCTTGTTCCTTCTATTAATTTTGGACGAAAGCGGTGTACTATTGATCAGATTAGCGTACAATCACATTGAAATCGGTATTTTTCTTATGATTTTCTGATTGTGTACTGGGCTTTACAAAGAGGTCCTGTGTGCATGAGAGCTTATTGTAGCACTGACTACTCATTCCAATTCAAAACAATAACCAGTCTTCAAGAAGCCTTTTACTTTAAAGTTCTGGGCTTTATATATACACATACATACAGTTGTGTTCAAAATAATAGCAGTCAGACATCACTAACCTGATCAATCACTGTTTTTGGTAGAAATGATATTTCTACATGGCAAATAATTTACTAGCAGGTGTAGTAGAGTAATAGAAATCCAACAGACCCAACAGTCATGACATGCATGCTGCTGATTCTGTGTAATTGAATCACTAATTGAAAGGGGCATGTTCAAAATAATAGCAGTGTGGAGTTATATTAGTGAAGTCATTCATTCTTTGAAAAACAGGTGGCAATTATTGCCCTTATATAAGGAAGGAAGGCATCAAATGTTGTACATGCTGGTTACAGTGCATTTCTCTCTGAAATTCTGAGGAAAATAGGTTGTTCCAGACATTGTTCAGAAGAACAGCGTACCTTGATTAAAAAGTTGATTGGAGAGGGGAAAAAATATATAAAGAAGTGCAGAAAATGATAGGCTGTTCAGCTAAAATGATTGCAAATGCTTTAAAATGGCAACCAAAACCTGAAAGACGTGGAAGAAAGTGAAAAACTACCATTCGAATGGATAGAAGAATAGCCAAAATGGCAAGGACTCAGCCAACAATCAGCTCCAGGAAGATCAAAGAAGGTGTAAAGTTACCTGTGAGTACTGTTACAATTAGAAGACGCCTATGTGAAGCCAAGCTATCTGCAAGAAGCCCCCGCAAAGTCCCACTGTTGAAAAAAAAGACATGCTGAAGAGGTTACAATTTGCCAAAGAGCACATTGACTGGCCTAAAGAGAAATGGCGCAACATTTTGTGGACTGATGAAAGTAAGATTGTTCTTTTTGGGTCTAGTGGCCGGAGACAGTTTGTCAGACGACCCCCAAACACTGAATTCAAGCCACAGTACACTGTGAAGACAGTGAAGCATGGTTGTGCAAGCATCATGATATGGGGATGTTTCTCATACTACGGTGTTGGGCCTATTTATCGCATACCAGGGATCATGGATCAGTTTGAATACATCAGAATACTTGAAGAGGTCATGCTGCCGTATGCTGAAGAGGAAATGCCCTTGTAATGGGTGTTCCAACAAGAAAACAACCCCAAACACACCAGTAAACGTGCAACATCTTGGTTCCAGACCAACAAGATTGACGTTATGGAGTGGCCAACCCAATCCCCGGATCTTAATCCAATAGAAAAACTTGTGGGGTGACAGAAAAAAATGCAGTTTCTGTGGCAAAACCAAGAAATAGAGAAGAACTGTGGAATGTAGTCCAATCATCCTGGGCTGGAATACCTGTTCACAGGTGCCAGAAGTTGGTTGACTCCATGCAACACAGATGTACAGCAGTTCTCAGAAACAGTGCTTATACAACTAAATATTAATTAAGTGATTCAAAGGAAAGCAAAATCTTCAAACATTTTTCAGTTTATATAGTGAATGTTTGAGTTTGTAAAGAAGAATACAAACACTGCTATTTTTTTGAACAGTCTAATATTCACTTTTCTTCAATTTTTGTTTAGAGGAACAACACAAATTTGATATATTTTTCTTCATATTTTGATTTGGAATAGAATGTGTAACGTTCCCAATGCATTTGTGTGTATGGAAATAAAAGCTATTAGAAGGATTTTGAGCTTTATTCACTTTTTTCAACACACTGCTATTATTTTGAACACAACTGTATATGCACATACACTATCTCACAGAAGTGAGTACACCCCTCACATTTTTGTAAATATTTTATTATATTTTTTTCAGGTGACAACACTTTGCTACAATGTAAAGTAGTGAGTGGACAGCTTGTATAAGGGTAAATTTTCTGTCCCTTCAAAATAACTCAACACACAGCCATTAATGTCTAAGGTGTGTTTGGGGTCATTATCATGATGGAATACTGTCCTGTGGCCCAGTCTCCAAAGGGAGGGGATCATGCTCTGCTTCAGTATGTCACAGTACCTGTTGGCATTCATGGTTCCCTCAATGAACTGTAGCTCCCCAGTGCCGGCAGCACTCATGCAGCCCCAGACCATGACACTCCCACCACCATGCTTGACTGTAGGCAAGACACACTTGTCTTTGTACTCCTCACCTGGTTGCACCATACACAATTGACAACATCTGAACCAAATACGTTTATCTTGGTCTCATCAGACCACAAGACATGGTTCCAATAATCCATGGCTGTAATGCCTATGAAATGTGTTGGCCTTGGACCCTTTGTTTCTTGAGTAATTTTTACAATAAAAGCATCATTGCCCAGGAGCATGAGAAGTGACTGATGTCATTTCTCTAGGCCCAAGGAACAAGATATCAGACTGTTTAAATTAGATAAGAACTTGTTTGTGCAATTAAAGGTATCCACTTGCCTGAGGGGTGTACTCACTTCTGTGAGATAGCGAGTGTAAATATATATATATATATATATATATATATATATATATGCCAAGAACTTTAAAGTAAAGGGCTCCTTGAAGACTGGTTATTGTTTTAAATTGGAATGAGTGGTCAGTGCTACAATAAGCTCTCATGCACACAGGACCTCTTTGTAAAGCCCAGTACACAATCAGAAAATCATACAAAAAAAATACAGCTTTCGATGTGATCGTACGCTAATCTGATCAATAGTACACCGCTTTCGTCCAAAATCAATAGAAGGAACAAGCACAAAAAATATTTCTTGCATGATACCAGACCGCGCAATTTTAATTTAATCAGTATAGATTTCGTCTGAAAATACAATACATTACTACCAAATTTTTACTCGGTCATACAAGAATTTTCAGAACTTGAGTAACCTCTTCATTTTGGGGGGGGGGGGGGGGTGTGAGAGAGACAGACATTCTTCCAAAGAAAGATTAATAATAATTACCCATTCTTCCATCTTTACCTCAGATCTTTGCACTCTTGATGAGCTCAGCTGGTTGAAGATCTTAACCTCTAGACGCCGAGCGCACATAAATATGCGGCCTCTCGGCGTCTGGGCCTGGATGCCGAGTGGCCGCATATTTGCGTACCACTTGAAGATATATATGTGCTGACAGCACACTGTACAGAACTGTACGGCACTTTGCAACGCCATGAGTGAAGTGTACTTTTGTTAAAGTTTGTACGCCCCCCCCCCCAGCAGCTGTCCATTCTATTGTGAATTCGCCCTAAAACAGACATGAAAAGTCCATTTTTACATCAGCCACCACTTGACCCACATGGAGCTTCCGATGAGGTCTGCCTGAAAAACAGACAAGCGGACCTATTCAGAAAGCCCATGTGAAAGGGACCCTGCAGGGACCCTGCTGCTATTGTACAAAACTTGAAAGAAATAAAAAATGGTACTTACCTGTCCTGCCACTGATCTTCACTCTCTTGAAGATCTAACCATGCTGAGTTTTCTTTGGCATTCAACAGTGTCGAATGCCTGGCTTAATGCCGTGCTTTGCGGTTCCTTCTGTTGGTCCCTAGGTTACTATTCTGTCCTGCAGTGAAGATGGAACTATAGAGGACAGCAGGGAACCAGACATAACATCCAGAAGAATACTCAAATAAAAGGTTTCTTTTTGTCGAATAGTGGAGGACTAGAACCCCTGGCAGTTTCTATTACAAGTTCTCTCCCCTGTCTGGTGAAGCCGGAACAGAAAGTAAGGGCAAATCTCCCTAACGGAGCCCTGAAGAGCAGCAAAACCCAACAAGAGTTTCTTTCCCCCATTTTCCCCATCTAAAACTATTAAAATATTTTTGGTAAAAACAATATATCACAATTAAAAATATTATGTGAAATGTGCATCAATAAAACCATCCCACATGCAAGAAAAAAAAAGTGTACAATCCAAACGCACATGTTCCTGCGTTAAAAATGGCTGTGTGTATAAGTGGGTGCTGCAGCGACCGTCGGCTGGAACTGAACAGAATCAGCAAGGGAGAATGTCACCAGCACACCGAGGATCACCAATATGGGTCCAAAAGTTTTAATGAACGATCACATAGTTACAGCAAGGCAACGTTTCAGAATCTCGCAGGACCCCTTCATCAGGCATATGACCAAGCCTGATGAAGGGGTCCTGCGAGACTCCAAAACGTTGCCTTGATGTAACTATGTGATCGTTCATTAAAACTTTTAGATCCATATTGGTGATCCTCGGTGTGCTGGTGACATTTTCCCTTACATGCAAGAAAAAGTCTCTTTGACAACCTAATTAACTCCTCCCCAAATTGTGCATCCACAAACTTAAACGGTGTACAATAAAGTTTTCCTCCACGTTTGTGCACTCACCTTGAATTTATGACTCACTTTTCTTGGATGTAGGTTGGTTTTATTAATGCACATTTCAAAATATATATTTAATTGTGATAAATGGTTTTGGTCTGTATATAAGTAATGAGTCAGTAAGTGGATTTTAAAGGTATATGAAATAGCACTGCACTATTTTTGTTTTTTCAAGTTGTTTTGTGTTCACATAAGAGTGGCATAAAGTGTGGGAAGCTACTATTGTTTTTTAGATAGCTTTTGATCATGGCATAGCAGTGCAAAGGTCTTTTTTTTTTGTTATTCTGTGCGTGCTGCTGTGTGATTTGTAGAGGGGCTGCAATGCAATATTTATTCTTTTTATTTATCTTTATTGAAAGGCCACAAAGAGACACTTCCATCAAATCTCTGTACCGTAGGGTAATGTGATGTGCTGCAGGGACACGAGGTGAGGTGAGGTGTGTGCGCTGTCCTAAAGTGCAGACCTATTGCATTTTTATGTGGCAAACTATAATGCAGCATTTTGGTGTGAACAGGATATATAGAAGGCAATTGTTTGCTTTGTGCCTTTGCAATGATCTGTGCAAATCAGTACAGCACAAGAGCCGGTATAACCTAGCCCTAAAGAAAGTTTCTCGCCAGGGTCAGTGTCTTATATACAGATGCATATTTCAAAATATGAGATACTTCAGCAGGTTATAGGTGTATCTTTACATTCACAGTGGAAAAATACTGTCAATTTTGTACATACACGTTTCTGAGAAGTGTAGCTGTTGAAGACATGTGTTGTGTTGTAGGTTTTCTAGGTGCTACAAATCTTACATAACTATCATCCTAAAATAGTGTCCTGCAGCAAAAGCTGATTGTAGGCAGTAGTGTCAGGTGCCCTGTGTACTCACAGCAGAGAGGCTGAACCTGCCAAGCTTCATTAGACTGCTGATTACTCTCATGGTGATATGATCCAGTCCTCTCTCCCAGCCTGTCTGCTCAGATAGTGTTTCCTAGTTCAGGGTCACGCAGCTGAATCCCTCCTCCACTGCATACACTATATCCTCCCTGCTATGCTGCGCACACCCACACAAACTGCTTTCTCACTGGCTCTGCCTTACATTTTGCTTTTCAACAGCAAATCCCTCCATTTTTCTGTACCATAGTTACATATTACTTTCCATTTGCAGAGTAGCAAATCATTCCCTTTTTCTGTTTTTTCAAGTTGCCACATTTTAACAATTGTTTATATATTTCACTATTCTTTTTTTTTTTTTTTTCAAATCGGTAAAAGTCTTTATTTGGACTAAATTTCTTTACGGGTAAAAAACAAAATGAGAAAGATGAGCTAACACCAATTATCCTGGTTACCCCTGCAGATCCCATTGCACATACAGATCATGGTGCCCCGTGCTGCAAGTGTAGCAGTCCGTACACTTAAAGTGTTACTAATCCCACAACAGTAAAATCAGTCTGTATATGCAGTAAATCATGCTTGTTATACTCACTGTACAGTTGCAAGAAAAAGTATGTGAACCCCTTGGGATTACGTGGAGTTTTGCATGAATTGGACATAAAATGTGCTCTGAACGTCATCTAAGTCACAACAATAGAAGAACACAGTCTGCTGAACATAATACTACACAAACATTAGATGTTGCCATGGTTTAATTGCACATAACATGTAAACATTCACAGTGCAGGGAGGAAAAAGTATGTGAGGCCCTAGCTTATTGACTTCTCCCAGAGCTAACTGGAGCCAGGAGTGAGCCAACCTTGACTCCAATCAGTGTGATGATATTGGATGTGTTGCTGACAGCTGTCCTGTCCTACTAAGGGGTTAGTCCTCCACATTGTAAAAAAAAGGCTGTCTTCTTTGAGCGTCCCCTTCTTCTACTGTCCCTAATCCATCTGCTGATACTACAGAGCTCTAGGAGTCACTCTGCACATGCTCAGATTAGTGTGTATGGCTAGAGTGTTTTATTTTTCTTTGATAGGGCCAATCTGTACTGTCCAGACAAAGGGTCAGGGGACAGCCTCATAGGACAGTCAGATGAGAATGAAAACTCCTCCTACAAGCTTTAAGTGCTCAGCTGGACACTGATAGAAGTCATAAGACTGCTATATATTGCTGAGAAAAGGTATTTAGCAGTATATATTTACTAAAATAATTGCATTTCCATGTTCTGTGTACTGTGGGAGACCAGATATAGTGAATGCAATGTCCTGGGTGTAGTAACACTTTAATACACAGCCCTGGAATGAGTATCCATCAAATTGCTTGCAATGACAAGCATCCATTGGTAATCCCAACTACATGACTGCACTGACCAATCAGAAAAGCTTTTACTCTCTTGGAACAAGAAGCTTTAGATGGTCAACGCATTGACTTGGTTGCACTGACTAATGAGCGCTTACCATTCCAAGCAATTTTATGATGAATATAGTTACAGCAAGGCAACGTTTTGGAGTATCGCAGGACCCCTTCATCAGGCATGTGACAAATTATGACAGAAACTGGAAAACTATTTAAGAAAACCATCCACAAATCAGAGTGAAGTGAAATGAGCCCGACCCCGCCCCATGATGTCATGTTCCCTCCAAAAATGCATTCAAATCAATGTAAAAAGAAACATTATAAACTGTGAAAATAAATAAACCATAAAACAATAATCAGATGTGCATCAACTGCATTCCCGGGGATATAAACATTGCGGTCACATGTGTATCATAGTACTCATTGGATTGCAATAAAGTGTTAGCACAGTGGTTCTCAACCTTTCTAATGCCGCGACCTTTTAATACAGTTCCTCATGTTGTGGTGACCCCCAACCATAAAATTATTTACCCAGTAATTATAATTCATGAAGTGTCGTTTTACCTCCAATACTGCTGCTTTCAACACAGTAGCTGCTTTTAACAGAGTAGCTGCTTTCAACACAGTAGCTGCCTTCTACACAGTAGCTGCTCTTTACACATCGGAAATATGTGTTTTTCCGATGGTCTTAGGCAACCCCTGTGAAAGGGTCGTTCGACCCCCAAAGGGGTCGCGACCCACAGGTTGAGAACCACTGTGTTAGCAGAAAGCATCGCCTTGTTATGTAAACAATGATTAGCAGCATATATGTTTCTGACAGAAGCTAAAAGCTGTTTCCTAGAAATGTGGGGGTGTCTCTCCTATTGTCAAGTGAGCTGCAATGAGGACACACCTACAGTGGTTCTATTGGTGCAGCGGCCGACAGTGTCATGGTGGCACATGTCACCTTTGTATGCACTATGCGAGTTTACTACTCACGCATGTGCTCAAAGCCATTCCTGCACTGGTCGCTGTCGTCATGGAAACCCATGTCGGCGCCAGACAGGACGAGGTGGAGGCAGGTCGCTGGTGTCATGGAAACACATGACGCCAGCGCCACACAAGCCAATGGGCGGGCAGGGTTATGGAACTGACCTGTGGAGAAAAAACAAAGAATACATTGATTTGAATGCATTTTTGGAGGGAACATGACATCATAGGGTGGGGTCGGGCTCATTTCACTTCACTCTGATTAGTGGATGGTTTTCTTAAATAGTTTTCCAGTTTCTGTCATAATTTGTTACATGCCTGATGAAGGGGTCCTGCAAGACTCCGAAACGTTGCCTTGCTGTAACTATGTGATCGTTTATTAAAACTTTTGGACCCATATTGGTGATCCTTGGTGTGCTGGTGACATTCTTCCTTGCTGATTCTGTTTGGTTCCAGCCGATGGTGACTGCAGCACCCACGTATACACAGAGCCATTTTTCACGCAGGAACATGTGCGTTTGGATTGTACACTTGCATTATGATGAATACTCGCTTTGGGGCTGTGTTTTGACAACACTGGCATTTTTCATGAAAATGTGAACTTATTGTCTAATCTCTGGCCAACCACATAGGAGATATGGAGCAAGGAGAGTGGGTCTTAACAGCCACACGCCACACAAATGCGTCCATGGCGGCTGAGGTCTCTGTGCTGAAAGCACACTCCCAGCATGCTCCCACTACAGTGACTGAATTTTCGCTGACAGTTCCCGGTCTCTAATTATGAACGGAAGCTCGCGGGATGGGCTTCTGATCATGTGACAGCCGTGACAGCCAATCATAAATGCAGAATTCCAGGCTAAACCTAACCCATCCTAAAAATGCTCCCTCCTAACCGACATGCTGATTAACCTTTGTAAGAAAGATGTATATTCTTACCTAATTTCAGCCCGCTCTGGTCCGACTCCCTTGTGTCAGCCAGCAGCAGCTACAGGGAAGAGGTGGGAATGCCAATAATGGATAGACATAGGAACCTAAGGGTGATGTCACCAATTCCAGGCATCCCAGCTGCTGTCCAGCATTCTCTTCTCTCCCCTGCAGCTGTTGCTGGCTGACACAGGGGAGATTACATGACCTGACTGGCACAGCCTGAAAATAGGTAAGCATATGCATAAGTTTCTATCACAGGTTAGTTGGCATAGGTGCTAGGAAGGAAGAAGAGAGCATTGTTAAGATTAGTTAGGTTTACACCTACACTGTTGTCCAGCACTTTCTTTTCCCCGCTGCAGCAGCGACTAGCTGACACAGGAGATATCAAGAGACCAGACTGGAGCAGCATAAAAATAGGTAAGTACAGTTAGGTCCAGGACACAGGCACAGTTTTAGATTTTTTCAGGTATTTACCAAAACATATTCAAGCTATAGTTATATAATGGATATGGGCTGAAAGTGCACATTCTCAGGTTTAATTTGAGGGTATGTACATCCAAATTGGAGAAAGGATTTAGGAATTACAGCTCTTAAGAGTAGCCATCCAGCCTTTTTCAAGGGACCAAAAGTAATTGGACAATGGAATATAAACATAGATAAAATGTTCATTTTTAATATTTTGTTGAGAATCCTTTACTGGCAATGACTGCCTGAAGTCTGGAACCCATGGACAATACCAAAGACTGGGTTTGCTCCTTTCTGATGCTTTGCCAGGCTCTAACTGCAGCTGTCTTCAGTTGTTCTTTGTTTGTGGGTCTTTCTGCCTTTAGTTTTGCCTTCAGCAAGTGAAATGCATGCTCAATTGGGTTGAGATCAAGCGATTGACTCGGCCATTGCAGAATATTCCACTTCTTTTCCTTCAAAAGCTCCTGGGTTGCTTTTGCAGTGTGTTTTGGATCATTGTCCATCTGTACTGTGAAGCGCCGTCCAATCAAGTTTGCTGCATTTGGCTGAATCTGAGCTGACAGTATATCTCTAAACACTGCATGATTCATCCAGCTGCTTCTGTCTTCTGTCACATCATCATTAAACACCAATGACCCAGTGCCACTGGAAGTGATGCATGTCCATGCCATCACACTACCTCCACCATGTTTTACAGATGACGTTGTGTGCTTTGGATCATGAGCGGTTCCAAATCTTCTCCACACTTTTTTCTTCCCGTCATTCTGGTACAGATTGATCTTAGTTTCATCCCTCCACAGAATGCTTTTCCAGAACTGGTCTGGCATTTTTAGATGTTTTTTGGCAAAGTTTAATCTGGATTTTCTATTCTTCAGGCTTATGAATGGTTTGCACCTTGTGGTGAACCCTTTGTATTTGCTCTCGTGAAGTCTTCTCTCGATTGTAGACTTTGACAATATTAGCCCACCTCCTGGAGAGTGTCCTTCACTTGTCTGAATGTTGTGAATGGGTTTTTCTTTACCAAAGAGAGGATCCTGCGATCATGCACCACAGTTGTCTTCTGTGGACGTCCATGCCTTTTTTGTTGCTGAGCTCACCAGTGTGTTCTTCTTTCCTCAGAATGTACCAAACTTCTAATGTTGCTGCTATCTCTCTGATGGATTTGTTTAGTTTTTAAAGCCTTACAATGGCCTGTTTCACTTGCATGGACAGCTTCTTTAAATGCATGATATAGATGCACATGAATAGATTCCAAATGCAAATATTACACTTAGAATCAACTCCAGACCTTTTACCTGCTTAATTGATGAAAAAATAATGAAGGAGTAGC